TGGCTTGGATCTAAAAGGTTTATCAGGTTTAAAGGATCATAGTTTGTGCAGGCTCATTCCTCCTTTGTGAATGGTAACGCCTTGCTGATAATCGGCAGCCATCATCAAACTTTGATGCTGAAAACATTCAGAAAACTGTTTAGGCCCTAGATCTACATCATTTTAAATGCACTAAAGAAAAATAGAATCAGAAAATTAGGAAACCTTACCCGGCGACAATATTAGTGTTTCTGTGTAATACAATGTGTTTCTAAAACTGTCAATATAAAGGCCTAGACTTCAATCTTTTAAGAATAGTCAACATATATCATTTTTTAGACAGGGTAAATTTCAGGAACTTCTATGCCAGCGACCATTTTTTAAGGATGTAACCGGTAAAGCACCAAAACTTTGACCTACTTGAAACATTGGGACCCAAACAGTGTAGATTGTGTTGCCTAGTGTATGAATGCTTGTTTCACTTATCACAGGATTATTTCATGCATACCAATACATTGATTTCAAAAGTTTTTTTTAGCGAACTGTCCTAACCTCGTCGTTACCTTACCTACATAAAACACAACAGGGGTGCGGGCTGGGGGATATGGAACCCGTACACGCGAGAATGCGATGTACATATCCTTCGATGTAGCACATAAATCCTTTGTCCAGGTTCTTTTCCCCCGAACTTCTGCAATTATCGTCCACAAAACACAAGCCATCAATCTCATGACGTCAACTAAGTTCGCTGATATAACTGTCAGCTGTTCTGCTCGCAGGGCCCTAAATTGAAGCAAGGGCACAATCTGAGACCGTCATCACAGTCTGGCCAAAGAAACTATTAACCAAATTGTATCTGAACCAAATGATTCACATATCATAAAGAGTGTTTTCCCATCAAACACATATCTGTTGACCTTCGACACAACAGCTCCGTCAAGTTCCATTAGAGTTGGTTGTTTCTCCATGCCTGTGGACCTCTACATCCCACGACCTACTCGCTGTTTTAATGTCAGAAATTTGGACATGTGCTGAATTAATGTGCATGTAAAGCTACTCAGGGTAAACATATGTCTTCTTCAACTGACTGCAGTGAATATAAGTTTCAATCCATTGTCCAAAACAATAAATATGATCAAACATCAGTTACTTCGATGCCAGGAAACAAGCAAAACGAGTCGCATCTGCCGAAACAACACAACATTCTTATGCTTCTGTAGTTAAAACCGGTGAAACGGTTAAAACTGTATCAGTTCACTGTCAGACAGATCTGTCATGGGCAGTAGGAGACACGCAAAAGCAAGTTTCTGAAATCGAAACTGTCCAACATGAAACAAAGTTACAGCTTCAAAGTGAACCCAGGTAGCACCCACATCAACATCAACAGAAACATTCCCAAAAGCTATTGCATCTAATCAAGACTGAAAAAGAAAATTCAATTTGGATGGCACTCAAAGATCCTGTGCAACTCTACAACAAGTATAGGTTGCTCGGGGATATGGATACGGAAGAACCCCCTCACATCAGCTCTTGTGGTTGTACAAGAGGACGATCTCCTAAAAAGAAAGCCAGGAGTCTATCCCCTGTTACTCCACCCTCGTGAGTGACCCAAATCGTTTTATTCTTTGCAAGTGCAGAGGTCTCAGGGCAAATGTTAATGCGTTACACTTATTAATACAAAATTGTAAACCGTCAGCAATCTGTCTCCAAGAGACATATCTCAAACGTACAGACACATGTAATTTGACCTAAGGAAGTATAACTGTCATCATTCATTTTCTCCTCCGGGAGATAAATCAACTGGAGGCTCAACAATTTTAGTCAGGCAGAACGTCATTCACAGCGCTGTTCATCTGCATACATGTTGCTAACAGCCTTACCATGCACATTGCATTTCCTTTGTGCTCGTTGTATATGCCACCTTAATCTGCGCTTAGGCAATATGATCTTCACAACCTATATTATCAGCTCCAAAAGCCCTGCATCACCAAGGGCGATTTAAATGGGCGTAACTCTCTGTGGGGAAGTGCAAGTACAAACAATTAGGGGCAATTTATAGAAGATTATATTTGCAATTTGCAATCCTCATGTTCGTAAACCATGGTTAAATAATGAATGCAAACAAGGAAGAAAGTGTAGGAAGAAAGCAGAAACAATATTTCCGCCGACACCCTACAGCAAAATATGTGGCAAACATGGAGGAACTGTGTCTCCAAAATCAATTCACGCACACACATGTCGAAGGTGTGGAAGATGGTTAAGAAAATAAAAGGCAAAGGTTCAAAATCTTCTGTACACCATCTTTAAGATGGTGACACATTAATATCTGACACATCTGACATTGCAAATATACTTCTTCATCATCAAATTATGTCTTGAGACACTTTGAGATAAATGTGATCATACATGGACTTCAGGGAATATTCCTCCTTCATGGCATAATGCCATTGTAGTCCCCATTCCAAAACCCAGCTGGAATCATACAGATCCCTCAAATTACCGCCCTGTATCTTTAACCAGTTGCGTTTGTAAAACCATGGAACGAATGGTAAACAATAGATTAGTTTGGTATCTGGAAACCAATAGTCTTATCACAAATATTCGTTGGGTTTCTGGAAAAATAGAAGTACTATTGATCATTTAGTACGATAAGAATAGTATCCATTTTCTTTGATCTTGAGGTGGGCACGGGTGGCCCAGTAGTCTAAGGCGCCGCGATTCGCTGTGCAGAGTTGCGTCCCTTGGGCACGCCAGAAACCTATGATTGTGGGTTCAAATCCCGGTTCGGTCTGATTATGTTTCTAGGTGTGTCAGCACAATACCCGTGCTGGTGGGTTTCACCGAAGTGGTAAACGTCTAAGACCTGCATCACTTTGGGCTTTCCTCCCACATTAAGCTGACACGCCGCGATATAACTGGAATACTGTTAAAAGCGGCGTTTAACCCAACTCACACACTCACTTTGATCTTGAGAAAGCATACTATACAACCTGGAAGCATGGCATTTTAAATATTTACTTCATTTTGGCTTGAGAGTTCGTTTACCGCATTTTATATCACATTCAAGCTGTTGAAAATACTTGTCACTGTTAACAATATCATATTTAATGCATTCTGGAAATACATTTAGTTAAAGAAAATAAATTATGAACAAAATGTCATACAGGCATCTTAAAATTCTTGATGTTTGCTACCTCAAAGTATTTTCAATTTATTGCTGAAGATTTAATTCTTAATATATGCCTATGAAAGTATTGTACATTTCAGAGAAGCATAGTTGTTCAAATTGATGACGTGTGCCTTGACTGTAGCTATTATTATCGTATTGTCGAGTAATGAGATATAAGTCACATCAGCAATATCTCAGTTATATTGTGAAACTCCACTAATGTCAACAATGCAAATATGTAGTATCGAACAAAACTGTTTTGTGATTTACTATGAACATGGCTTCCACCAGAAAAGCATAAAGTCAGTGTCGACAGGACATAGGCTCCAGCCTGTATTGCAGGAATCACTAGTAACTGTATGGAATGGAGCCAGACTGAATTACACACCAACTCACTGAAAAGTAGGGCGAAATAGGCTTGGAGGATAAAAATGGTCCCAAAACGATTTTACCGCCTTCAACCAGTCAGATATTGAGTATTTTGGGTGCATGATAATAACCTCTGTTGTCATATTGATATGATTGTAAAACTGTTTTGTTACTAACAAATGTTCACTGTCGTTTACCAGACTTAGCCTTGGAGTCTTGGTGTTTTCATTCTGATAAGGGGAAGACATACAACTAGGGAATAACAACGTTCGAATGAAAAAAGTGATAATTATAAGAATTGATCACTGAAAATATGTCTGAATGTATGTCTGCCATAAAGTTTCTGGAATGCGTTAATTTTTATACTGGCCTTTCATTGTGAAAGAAATGATTCGATGAAATGTCATGTCATTGCACTAAATTTTAAATTACTCTTTTTCATGTTTATCTCAGGACATATGTGGTGACTGATTAGTGGTGAGATGTGTCATAATGACCTACAGTACATTTGTGATAACATTCAGTCATGTGAAAATCACGCCATCCAAACTGTGATAACCGTGTTTTCGGAGATACACTCTACTGTGTATACCAACTAAAAAAAGTAACTGTGCTTCATGTAAAGTTCAATAAAAATACATTTATTCTGAAATTAAATAATTCAGCATTAAGGTCCTGATTCATAATTTGCACGTGCATGCTAATGGACGGCGCCAAATTTGGATGTTTGCGTGATTATTGGGACCAGCCTGTATAATTTGTGCAATTTCTAAAGTAATTCTCAATCCATGTAAAATATTTCCTCTTCACTGTTAACTTATAACCTTTTTTGTACTCTGCTACGGAGGACTAAAAACATATGGTGAGGTGAACAGGCGGTTAGCCGGTAGCTTTACAGCTTTCACGATGATATCAGTACATTTACAAACTTTCTTCTGGACAGAGATTTAAACAATTCTATGAGTTTTTAGCATATTGGCTAATTCCTATATTTACATGAGATATATAGTTGACGAGCATCGTTAAAATATGTTTATTTTCTAAATATACTGAACAGCATTGAAAACGCACCAGCAATAAATCTTGAAATATTACAATAACAACTTGAGCAATGACCGATTTTAATTAAGACAGACATAGACGGATTATTAAGAAAGACGACAAAGGAAACAGGAATACCACACAGTAATTACATTTACGTCATCAGTGTAAGGAAGACACATAGGGTTAAAATGAAAAGTCAATGTCATTGGCAGCAACACAGGCCATGCAACGTCTTCTCATTGATCGAATAAGTCTACGAATAGTGTTCTGGGGCATTCCACTCTTGACGTAGTGTATCTTCAAGCTCTCTCAGGTTCTGTACTTGCGGACGACGCGAGAGGCGTTGACCCAGGTAATCCCATAGATGTTCAATTGGCGATAGATTTGGTGACAGGGCTGGCCATGGAAGCAGAGGCACTTTATTGTTCGCTAGGTACTGTGTTGAAACACGTGCTGTGTGCGCTCTTGCATTATCTTGCTGGAAGGTGTGCATATCCTGGTGCTGATGAAAGAATGGGATGACGCGATTTGCCAATATGTTATTCCTGTAGTAAAGTGCATTAAATCTTCCACGAGAAACATGGAGCTCTGTTCGATGGTTATGACTGATGCTGCCCCACGATGGCGATGTCGATGTCGCTCACAAAAAAATTAGGAATGTGTTTTGACGAGCTCTTCTTCTGCATGCTTCGTCCCGAACGTCGTATATTACTCATTCACTTATATATATTCATATGACTTAAGCCCGGATAAAAATACACCCATTTTCATGGTGGTGCGTTTTCAGTGCTGTTCAGTATATAATGTTATTCAAGAACCACATCAATGATATCACATAATTTACAAATTCGATCACTTATTGCCATATTATTCCATTTTCCTGTCGCAAGATGTTCGAAAGATGGGCACACATAAAGTCATGATTGCAACATCACGAACCTCACTCCACCACCACACATTCCCTTCACCCCAACCATAGTTATTACAAATATTCCCGACAGCATCAATCCGCGTTAAATCATACTGATTAACAAGTTTCTATATAAACAAAACAAAGCTGTATTAATTAATATATGAAACGTTAACGACAGTTGTGGTCCGAAAGGCGCGTTTCCCGAACTAACGGGGTATCATCCTCCACAGGCGGACACATCAACAAAGGACACTACATCTTCGTGTCGGTGATAGACGTGTCCTGGGGGATGATGAGGCCTGGCTTTATGTCGTTGTCGTTGATGCCAACAACACTGGAGGTATCAGTGTCAACGCTGCGTCGGGATGTACACAAGAACACTCTGCAACACATGAATATGTAGTTGTTTAATATCACAGCTGTTTCCTTTACACGATGAGGCAAATGTGATCGCTAACATTTTGCATGTATCTCAATATATACATGGACTGATACAGTATGCGAGATGAAAGCCATACTCTTCTGTCTACTTTTGGTACCAAATATACTTCCACTACAAACGTCAATACAACATAGGTACCACCCATTTTTTAACTGTAAATATACAAAAATATTGAAAATGGACATGGAGACCATCAGATGTTTGGGATGGCTACAGAAAGATCCATACCCACAACTAGACTTGCACTCACACTATGATAACTGCAGACAACAGTTGGCATCCCGCACAGGCGAAAAAGGCGAAGCCACGGAGTATCCTCACACTGGCATTATACATCTCGTTGAAGACTGGTATCCCTATACCTTCTGAGATGATGTTCACCAGTACAATACCTGCAAACAGTGATCCTGAAAACAACGGTCAACAATTTACTGCATGTACATGCGTTTGGGAACAGCAATCGCCTGATGAATAAAGGAACAAATATAAGATCAGCGTTTCGAAATGTTTCACCTCAATGTTGTTGCTGTTTACAGTCTCTTTCTTTTATAACTAATCGGTGCACATTGTTTAACAAATGAACATAGAAAACATTTTGTTTACCCGAATTTTATAGAAAGAGTTGCAGCATCTTGTATATTATTATTGTTATCTCCTTGTATATATTGTACAGTTTGAGTTTCAGATTGCAGGGTTACTGTTATAGATATTCCAAGCTGCATTGTGAACGTAATCACGATCAATATGGCCTCCACATGGAGGCTATAAAAATCAGGGTAACATACAGTTGCACCTTAATTAATACCTTGTGTTTCGTCAGCTTAATTGTTAAATCTTATGTCTTCCTTTCCATGCGAATGAATTACACTGCTGGACATTGATGGTTTGTATACAAGGAATTTTAATTTAAAAAAAAGAAAAGGTATCCAACATATTAGTGACCCAAATAATGCAATGTGTTTGTGACTTGTTACGAGTGATACGCTCGACTTTTTGTGTTCACTTTGTTATCATCACTATTTGATACTGATTGATAAACACACGTGTATGATATAGTTGGACTCGTACAATGGACCCTGATGATTATTGAGAGGGCTTTGTTGGTTTTATTTAAATTCTTAACTAACAGGACATTTGTTAAATTGACAACTCTTAGAAATGTTGTAGAAAATGTGTTTGAAAAAGATAGCTACTGACTAGTATTTACATCATTTGAGTTAAGCGGTGATTTATGATATAGACGTAATAATAAAATGAGTGAGTGAGTGAGTGAGTATTGTTCTACGCCGCTTTTAGCAATATTCCAGCAATATCACGGCGGCGGACACCCGAAATGGGCTTCACACATTGTACCCATGTCGGGAATCGAACCCGGGTCTTCGGCGTGACGAGCGAACGCTTTAACCGCTAGGCTACCCGACCGCCCCTAATCATAAAATGAACCCTCATGATTATGGAAAGGGCTTCGTTGTTTTTTTGAAAAATGTGATTGCACTGCCCACTTTATTATCATTATAGGCCATTCAAAACATTACAGCTGTCCCACTCTTTGTCTTTGTTATGTCATATGCATTTGAATGTTGGTAGCATGGGATCCTCTCTTGCTATGTTTATACCAGTTATATAATAACGTTGATGACAACACTTTTTTTTAAAGAACAAATGAATGCCAGAAGAAGGATATCTTTTGATGATGAGCTTGGCCATCAACAACTATCTGCATACTCACCCTGCATTTCAGCAGGGGCCATCCTTGACATGATAGCCCGCAGTGACGGAAACAAAGGGCCTGCAATAGCATTGGGCAAAACAACTGCAACAAACCATACTCTTTAAACAAATGCAAAGTATAATTAATGTCAATATATACCTTATGTTCTGAAAATATATTGAATGATATTTCATCGACAAGATATCCTTTTATCAAATCCTCCTCAGAAGTATTACCATGAACTTATGTTATTTACTGCGATGGTGACTTACAAGAGAAGAGCAAGACGTCAGTGTTGGCCAGTCCGTGTAGGACATAGGCTCCCGCCTGTATGATGGATGTTATGATACATATTCCTGGATCGGAGGTGCACATATGGAGGAGTTTGATGACTGGAATCCCTAGAAATTGTCTTGTAAGGGACAATGCCATATTGAAATAGCCGATGAGCTCTGGGCCCCAACAGAAAGGCAGGTTTAGTTGGAAAAGATATTCTACAAAATACACACCACTCTGACTGAAATATAATATAAAATATGATGCAAGTGAGAGCAGGAAGAGGCTTCTCTTTGGTCCAAAATCTTTTGAAAAGTAGAATCCAAAGACATTTTTCACTGCTTTCACTGGAGTTGGGTATTGGGATCTTCTATCTGAGTTGATAGTTTCCGGGAGAAGAACAACGACAAGGACGAGAGACAGAAGCATGAGTAAGGCAGTAGTCACAGAGGGGTAGAGATAGCCTAGGTTTTTGATGAAGTATCCAGTAATGACCTGAGAAGCTGCAGCAGCCAGGTAGGTGGTGAAATCTATCACAGCGATCCATACTGTCCGTGAGTTCTTAGGTGGTGTGTTGTCAGCCGTGTAGGCATAACTAGCTAGAATCACACCATTGTATCCCCCTGAAAAACCTTGAAGTGCCTCACCAATGTACAGGTATCTCACATCTAGATTCCAGTAAATAACAACTGTCGTCAACCAAAACTTCACAACCACTCCAGCTAAAGGTACTATGAAAAGGACCCGTCGACCAAGAAAATCAGAATATGCCCCTAGGAACATGCAGCTGATCACTGCTCCGGAGCTTCCAATAACTGTCAGTATTGTTTGACAGTTCGAAGTATTTTCTTGAACCTTTTCCTGTAGCATATATCCTGGATCCGATTCATTGACGTAACACTGGGATGTTTGGTTAGGAGAGTTGACATGCCCTGTGCTGTTATTGAACTCCTCATCGGAGTACCTCTTGTATAGATATTGTGTTACCAGTGGATTGCGGATATTGACAGCCACTTGAAAAACAAGAAACACAACGTTAGCCTTGAGTAGATTTCCCAGTTTAGACTTGTCTTTATCCCTGTCTTCAAGAGGCGGTGCAGACTCCATGTTCGTCCAGTGTCATGCAACCAGGAGATTGGGACGAATCTTGGTTGATGTGTTCTTAACAAATGATGTGTAACCTAATGCCGTGATAAATGCGCAGTGCATATTGTAAGGCTGATTAACTTGGTGTGTGTGACATGTGGACATGTGACATAATGTTGAGATAATCAGTTGCATTGTGACAGAGTGTTCCAGTATCTAGTTGTGAACACTCTCGCTGTGTGGATATGTTAAATGGCACATATTATGGATACTCAAACTACCTCTTGTGATCTTCAGCTAAATATATTTATGATAAAACATGGGAGGTTAACTTGTTGCTGTTATTATAATGAACTAATCTGTAATCTGTAGAATGATAAGCCGGAGTTCCTGCACCCTTGTTGGATTATTTGAGAGACGTCGCAAACTTCGTTCAATTTCATCCCAGAAATTTTTGTCTCCAAGACTGGGTCTTCAGATAGAGGAGTATCTTCAGAGTACCTTTGTACATGGCATCAATTGACAGCAATTTTACTGTCTTCATAAGTTATATAAAGTACAAATTGTACTGTAAAGAGAGATGTTTCAGAATTGTTTTATTTTTGATCATCCATTAGTGATTATCCTCATATTTTTTACATATATTTTAAAAGAAAAATCTAATTTAAGAGAAAATATGTCACTAAATTTGCTGACGATACAGCACTCGGCTGTTCTTCACCAGATAATCAACTAGCTAAATTAACTCTAAATTTAAAATGTAAGCAAGCTGTGTAACAGGACAATATGCTGGTCAATTAAATTCAACCCAGATAAAACCGAAACGGTTAAATCTTCAATAAAAGATGAATCAGACCTTATTACCTTGTACTTTGATGAATGTAAAGTTAAGAATGTTCAAAGTCATAAACATTTGTGTATAACGTTTGCATCAAACGGAAAATGGTCCTGTCACGTAGATAATATTATTAGATCAACATCAAAAATGATAAATTCAATGAGACAATTAAAATTCATATTGAACAGAAATACATTAGATAAAGTATATACAATTTTTATAAGACCCCATTTCGAATATGCGTGTTAAGTGTGGGATGTGTGTAATGTGGAAAAGTCTCTCTTTTGTATATTTCTTTTATATCTATACACTCATCTTCTTTTCTGTTTTCCTTGTATATGATATACTGTACAAGCTTTTGTAAATACCACGGAGAGGGAGTTTTCACCAGATAAGTTGGATAACTTGTTCACAATCCATTCCAATCTGAATAAAATATGTTTAAACAAACAAACTAAATATGCCAATCTGCCGCTCTTCCAAGGATGAGGCCATGTTTAGGTTTTGTGAGCGAGTGCGTGAAATTGCGAGATTATGTCATCAACACACCACAGAAAGCGCTAAATTGAACGTCTGTGACATTTGACATTGGATGCAAGCTGATACTGTGCGTTTTGAACATACCACAATGTCAAGCTTTTGGTTGTCCAAAGAGGAACAACTGAGGTGAAGGGACACCGCTATGAGGAAATCATAGTTTGTAATCCCAAATGCCTCTAAATATCCAGGAAACGATATGACCGACAGGCTGCACAATACTGGCACTGGCTGGACATGAGCAACATTCACATTTGGGAAGCAAAAGGTAGATAAATTGTTTGTACTGTTGCTTTTCTGAAGAAAACCAAGGAATGTTAAAACTTCTATTGTATCGATAATTTGAGCATAATTTGTGATTATTTTGTAAATAGAGATTATTATGTGAGCATGTGTGTCATACTGATGTTCCAAATTGAATCTCAGAATTATTGTATTTGCCGATAGAGAGCTTTTTCTTGGGGGGAAAAGAAAAGCTACAATGAGGTTTGCGCGAGGAGCGTTTGGGCAAAAAGTACAATATTGCCCTTATTACGTTTTTGGAACATGTGACTGGTAATTATGTTTGGGTAAGGTAACATAAGTCCATTTCCACTACTGTTCTACTCACTTTTATGAAAGAATGATAACCCGTTTGCCGTGGGTGCGTCCCTGTTTTGGTGGAGAAATGGATTCTGGTGTTTGAGGGCACTTGAGCCAGGAACAGTGTTCATATTTACCAACATACCCCGTTCCTGACTTCACCTGGACGGGTGGTAGAATGGGCCTGGTTCTATCAATTGGCTGGTCATGTCAAGCCCTGTGTATGAAGTTTTTGATATGGTTTGACTCAATTCACTTAATTTTCAAATAGTCTTCTGTTCATCAAGTTTATGATACTTGCCAAGAGCGTAGTCCCAGAAGGTGGTGGCTCAAGGGCCTAACTTGTTGACCCTCCGTGGCAGGGACCAGGTTTGCTGAACCACAATAAATACACAATATTTGTTTTGTGCCATGGTAAAGACAATACATTTTTTTCCAAAACAGTAACTATCAGAATCTTATTCTGAGCTCGAGTCATCTTATGATGACACAGTGACCAGGTTGTTGTATTCCGAAAGAGATACCTGGCCTCGGTTTCTTGTCATTGAAGCTAAGGGTGACCATACTCCAACTGTGTACTCACCATTTCCATGGAAAAAGGACTCAAGAGTAAAGCTTGTGAGTTGAAGGTTGTTATGAAATTAAGATCTGGAGCGTTTTTGATTGAATATACTCGGAAAACACAAGCCATCAATCTCATGACGCCAACTAAGTTTGCTGATATAACTGTCAGCTGTTCTGCTCGCAGGGCCCTAAATTTAAGCAAGGGCACAATCTGAGACCGTCATCACAGTCTGGCCAAAGAAACTATTGACCAAATTGTATCTGAACTTCAGAGTCAAGGTGTGATTAAAACCAAATGATTCACATATCATAAAGAGTGTTTTTCCATCAAACACATATCTTTTGACCTTCGAAACAACAGCTCCGTCAAGTAAGAGTTGGTTGTTTCTCCATGCCTGTGGACCTCTACATCCCACGGCCTACTCGCTGTTTTAATGTCAGAAATTTGGACATGTGCTGAATTAATGTACATGTAAAGCTACTTGCTTTAGATGTGATCATGATTGTAACATATTTACTCAGCCTCTGAAATGCTCTAACTGTCAAGGTAATCATATGTCTTCTTCAACTGACTGCAGTGAATATAAGTTACAAACCATTGTCCAAAACAATAAATATGAACAAAACATCAGTTACTTCGATGCCAGGAAACAAGCAAAACGAGTCGCATCTGCTGACACAACACAACATTCTTATGCTTCTGTAGTTAAAACCGGTGAAACGGTTAAAACTGTATCAGTTCACTGTCAGACAGATCAGTCATGGGCAGTAAGAGACACGCAAAATCAAGTTTCTGAAATCAAAACTGACAAACATGAAACAAAGTTACAAAGTCTGAACATGACGATCTTTGTGGAAGTGATAATTTTCTCACTGTTTTAAAAGCTGTAAAACCGGATAATGGCTACCCTTTATCGTATAAAATTTTACAAGGGCCAATTGGTCCTTGTATGAAATGTTATGTGCTGAGAAAATAAAACCTGATTATTCCAGAAATGAACCAGATCCCATCCAGTTGTTTTCAGCTCAACTAAATTAAATTACTGATCATACATTTCTTATGTCCGCTCAAATCCTCATATTCGTAAACCATGGTTAAATAATGAATGCAAACAAGCAAGAAAGTGTAGGAAGAAAGCAGAACAAATATTTCCGCTGACACCCTACAGCAAAATATGTGGCAAACATGGAGGAACTGTGTCTACAAAATTAATTCACGCACACCCATGTCCAAGGCGTGGAAGATGGTTAAGAAAATAAAAAGGCAAAGGTTCAAAATCTTCTGTACACCATCTTAAAGATGGTGACACATTAATATCTGACACATCTGACATTGCAAATATACTTCTTCATCATCAAATTATGTCTTGAGACACTTTGAGATACATGTGATCATACATGGACTTCAGGGAATATTCCTCCTTCATGGCATAATGCCATTGTAGTCCCCATACCAAAACCTGGATTCATACAGATCCCTCAAATTACCGCCCTTTATCGTTAACCAGTTGCGTTTGTAAAACCATGGAACAAATGGTAAACAATAGATTAGTTTGGTATCTGGAAACCAATAATCTTATCACAAATATTCGATGTGGTTTCTGGAAAAATAGAAGTACTATTGATCATTTAGTACCATTAGAATCATTTGTTCAAAGTGCTATAGTAAATAAACAACACATAGTATCCATTTTCTTTGATCTTGATGTGGGCACGGGTGGCCCAGTCGTCTGAGCCGCCGCGATTCGCTGTGCAGAATTGCGTCCCTTGGGTACGCCAGAAACCTGTGATTGTGGGTTCAAATCCCGGTTCACCCTGATTATGTTTCTAGGTTTGTCAGCACCATACCCGTGCTGTTGAGTTTCACCGACGTGGTAAACGTATGAGACCTGCATCACTTTGGGTTTTCCTCTCACATTTAGCTGACACGCCGCCAAACTCAAACACTCACTTTGATCTTGAGAAAGAATACAGTACAACCTGGAAGCATGGCATTTTAAAAGATTTACATGATTTTGGCTTGAGAGTTCGTTTACCGCATTTTATATCACATTTTTAACAGACAGGCAATTTCAAGTCAGAGTCGATTCATTCCTGTCCGACCATTATACTCAGGATCAGGGTGTCCCACGAGGCAGTATTTTGTCTGTCACATTATTTAGTATTAAAATAAATAGTCTTGCAAAGGATTTAAGTGATTCCATAGATGGATCAATCTTCGTGGATGAATATTTAATATTTCTTGTTGTGGTAAAAATAGGCATACAATAGAGAGGCAGTGACAAATCTGTCTGAATAAACGGGTTTGAATTTTCTAAATAAGAAACAAATTGTATACATTTCTGCAGAAAATATAAGGCGCATAAGCACCCTAAACTATTTTTGAATGGCGCCCCTATCAAAGTTGTAAAGGGGGCAAAGTTCTTGGGACTTTCCTTTTTACCGCATATTAAATATCTTAAAGCTAAATACATGAAGGCTCTTGATTTGTTGAAAGTCGTTTCTAATTCCAAGTATAGAGCAAATCAGACAACCCTCTCACACTTGTATATTTCACTGATCCGCACTAAACTTGATGACGGCTCCATCGTCTATGGTGGAGCATTTTAAAGTAATTTCTAAAAAGCTGGATACTATTCATCACCAAAGCATGAGCCTTTGCCTTGGAGCATATCAGACTTCTTCTATTCATATTCTGTATGTGGAGTCGGATGAGCCATCCCTGAAACAACATCGTCTGAATTTATCATTACAAAACATCACCCAATAATGCTCTAATCGAACAAATCTAGTGCAACTATCATTGGATCCAGAACAATATCTTCAAGATACAGTTCAATATTCACAGCAGAAACACATTTTTACTGCTTTAAAATCTACAAACAGCCAATCTAAACATAAACAGTTCATAATATTTTTACATTCTCTTTCTTGCCTTCATGCTATTAAAAATATGTCTTGCACGCATCCACTTTAATCGAAATGTTTGAGTTTTTTAATGATCTTGCACCTGGCCATTATGACATCGTTTTTTTAATGAAATTCCCACATTTAGATGTCACAAAGTGTTATAACGAAACTACTTCACAAGCTATTGAAAATCATTGTCACTGTTAACAATATCATATTTAATGCATTCTGGAAATACATTTAGAAAATAAATGATGAACAAAATGTCAAACGGGCATCTTAAAATTCTTGGTGTTTGCTACCTCAAAGTATTTTCAATATATTGCTGAAGATTTAATTCTAAATATATGCCTATGAAAGTATTGTACATTTGAGAGAAGCATAGTTGTTCAAATTGATGACGTGTGCCCTGACTGTAGCTATTATAACCGTATTGTCGAGTAATGAGATATAAGTCACATCAGCAATATCTCAGCTATATTCTGACCGGCACAACTTATACTTTACTTATACCTACAACCCACCGACGATAGACAGTATAAGCTGGAATATTACAAATGTGTATATAAAACTAGTATAAGAGAATTAAAAGGTTATAACTAATATTTGACAGTGCAATGTATAACCGGGCTGTAGATGGCCAGCAACTGATGGTAGATCTCCAGACTAGGGACCACGGGGACTTACGGATACAGACCTCAGCAGGATTTCTTCAAACTCCACTAATGTCAACAATGCAAATATGTAGTATCACACAAAACTGTTTTGTAGTTTACTATGAACATGGCTTCCACCTGAGCATAAAGTCAGTTTCGCAGGACATAGGCTCCAGCCTGTATTGCAGGAATCACCAGTAACTGTATGGAATGGAGCTAGATTTGGTTTGGTTTGGTTTGTTAATTAACGCCGCGCCCAGCAATATTCCAGCTATATGACGGCGGTCTGTAAATAATAGAGTCTGGACCAGACAATCCCGTGATTAATATCATGAGCATCGATCCACGCAATTGGGATCGATGACATGCATCAACCAAGTCAGGGAGCCTGACCACCCGATCCCGTTAGTCGCCTTTTACGACAAGCATAGTCACCTTTTACGGCAAGCATGGGTGGCTGAAGACCTATTCTATCCCGGAATCTTCACGGGTCAGACTGAATTACACACCACCTCACTGAAAAGTAGTACGAAATAGGCTTGAAGGTTAAAAATGGTACCAATATCGTTAACAAAATAGAAAACAAAAACCATTTTGCCGCCTTCAACCAGTCAGATATTGAGTAGTTTGGGTGCATGAAAATAACCTCTGTTAGCCTATTGTAATGATTGTAAAACTGTTTTGTTACAAACAAATGTTCACTGTCGTTTATCAGATTTAGCCTTGGAGTCTTGGTGTTTTCATTCTGATAAGGGGAAGACATACAACTAGAGAATAACAACGTTCGAATTAAAAAATGATGATAATAATAAGAATCGATCGCTGAAAATATGTCTGAATGTATGTATGCCATAAAGTTTCTGGAATGCCTTTGTTTTAATAATGGCCGTTCGTTGTGAAAGAAAATATTCGATGAAATGTCATGTCATTTCACTAATATTTAATTACTCTTTTCATGTTTAGTATATCTCTGGACATATGTGGTGACTGATTAGTGGTGAGATGTGTCATAATGACCTACAGTACATTTGTGATAACATTCAGTCACGTGAAAATCACGCCATCCAAGCTGTGATAACCGTGTTTTCGGAGATACACTCTACTGTGTATACCAACGGAAAAAAGTAACTGTGCTTCATGTAAAGTTCAATAAAAATACATTTATTCTGAAATTAAATCATGCAGCATTAAGGTCCTGATTCATAATTTGCACGTGCATGCTAATAAACGGCGCCAAATTTGGATGTTTGCGTGATTATTGGGACCAGCCTGTATAATGTGTGCAACTTCCAAAGTGATTATCAATCCATGTTAAATATCTCCTCTTCACTGTTAACTTATAACCTTTTTTGTACTCTCCTACGGAGGAATAAAAACTTATATATAGTGAGGTGAACAGGGGGTTAGCCGGGAGCTTGACAGCTTTCACGATGATATCAGTACATTTACAAACTTTCTTGTGGAGAGATTTAAATAATTTCTATGAGTTTTTAGCATATTGGCTAATTCTTATATTTACATGAGTTATATAGTTTATGAGCATCGTTAAAATATGTTTATTTTTTAAATATAATGTTATTCAACAACCACATAATTCATATCACATAATTAACAAATCCGATTACTTATTGGCGTGTTATTCCATCTTCCTGTTTCAATTGGCAACCGGTGGCAAGACGTTCGAAAGAAGAGCACTTTAAGGGCAAAAATGAAATATGAATATTTAATAAATATGATTCAACCTTATTATCAATATTGAAGACTTATGACAACATAGCCAAGGCCATTCGGATCTAAAATTTGTTTAATAAACGTGAGCCATTTGCAAATTCTACAGTTGGTTATTGTATCTTTATGTAAGAGCATGTACAAAATATAGGACAGAATACTACATTTCCAGAAAAAGCTTTCACCAAAATGTAATGATTCCTGTTTTAATATCTATGAGAAGGGGAGTTGTACCCAGCGCATCATAAAGCATAAAAAGTGGTTACTTTCTTTTTAACTTGGATAAGTTTCCTCAGAAAAATGTTTTCAATTAACTATATTATTTTCAAAAACCCAAACTTAAAATCCATTCACGAGAATAGGTGTTATCATGGCATCGAATAAATCAAGTTGACATTAAGTGAAAGGTTATATGTGCGTGATTTACTTGAAGCAAAGTACATGTCTTTAGTAGCTTGACCACACAGGCTTTTGATTGATTTTCTTTTTGTTTTTTTTCTTTCTGAAAATTAATCCCAAGATACTTAAATTCATCTACAAATTCAACATTAATTTCATCTAAAACTGCTATTCTTTCTTTTGTCATATTCATTCCCCAAAATAATTACTTTTGTTTTACGCGTATTTATGACGTTTCCATTTTATGCAATATGAGTCAAAACAATCTAAAGAATGTTGTTAATTGTAGGCATAGAAAACACAAAGAAAGAGATTTCTTTGAGGACATAGGCTATCACATGATACTTTGACTAACAGTAAACAGTCATATTTTGTAGGGATATCCTTAAAATATCTGTTGAAACATCTTCAACAAGGATAGCTGGCCACCTGGTCTGGCGCTTGAGTTTGTGTTCTTTGTATAGCTGATAAAGTGTGGAATGTCAACAGTATCACAGTCATCTAGTTCAGGTTTTCCAAGTTGAGTTATATTAGATGATTTAATGAAATGAAGAAATTCAGTATGAATTGAAATTTCGTTGTCTACAGCAGGGCAACACTCATAATCTGTTAGGGCCCGGTCGCCCACGTGTGACGTCACGTCAACAAGACAACAATATTCGGTTGGTGCGTCTACTAAATCGATACCAAACTGCCACATTAACAGCTAGGCCAATTCCTTGGTTAGTGACAAATTAGTGGCAGAACCGTACGCAATCGTTTGAATGAGCACAAAATCTGGCCCTACGTCCAGTGATACGCTCACGTTTTGCTTCTGAGTCAGCATCTGAGGTTCAGAAGACAAGACTGGGACAGCATATCGTTCACAGATGAGTCCAGGTTTCATCAAGGGTCGTAGAAGGGTCTTCAGGCGTCCAGGAGAATGTTGAAGTGACGCTGCCCGCCCACATATATTGCACACATTGTGACAGACATTTTGAGGCATCATAACATTGATGCCCTGCCATGGCTGTTGAAATGGTTTTCTAGTCATGGAACCTCAAAATGGTAAACATTCGGACTTCAGTCGCTTGTCGTACCACAGATGTCATCAAACTCATCGTCTGTCGCTCACTTGTATGTGATAACATTTAAAACGGAAGAGATTTCCTTAGGCCGTTGGAAGTACTGCCATCAATCTCGGCCATCTATTAGACATTCCAGAATTTTTGTTTGTTCACTTTTCAAAATTTGAATCGAGAAGTTTCCCCAAATATTCGACTTGTTGTTTGTAATTTCATCGGTTGGCGAAAGGTAGTTCTGACATGACCTGAATTGGGATGTCCTGAGATCTTTGTTTAGCTGAGAACAATGACCTGACTTTAGCTGGTAATATAGCCTTGAGTTAAACACTTTAACTGTTTTAGCGCATGTTATTCATTATACTCAGTGTTGAACAAACTCACAGAATAACCATAATGTAGACACCAAACCAAAATTGTATCTACTGTTTAATACAAAATGTGAAATTTGTAAGAAAATAAGGTGATATGGTGATATGTTAATAAGAATGTTGTTATCGCCGTTGACAAGGAGATGGTAAGAAAGCATGTGACATGTTAACGTGGAAATAAGAACAGTACACTAAATGATAGTATATTACATGTAATAGTTATGACGTCAACTTTCTGTTAGTCAAGTTTGTGTTATGGCGTCAACAATATGTTAGTTAAAGGTTGAAACTATATCTGATTCAAAGAATTCCTTATTCATGGAGACACAGTCGTCTGGATATACTGAAGCGCTTGACAATAGTTTCTAGGGCAAAACACCTGGGTGATTGTTTCATGAATGCAACCAAAGTGTCAAGCGATGGTGTCATGTCTGGCTCCCAACATACTAATGGTCCTGTTACTGATGATTGTCCTTATACGTTGACGACGTGAGCTGTTATTAAATGTAAATGCATCCTGTGATCATGCTGCAAGCGCATATAAAGTTCAGGGAAAAGGTAATTAACACGTAATTCAGTGAACTAAAGAAAGGTTTCAAGATGCACCCATGATGCACTTACATGACAAGATAATACTATTTCATGTTTCAATCCAGTATATTTACCGCATGCATACGTTTGCATTACATTTATCAACGCTTTAATGAATGAACATCTTTGTGTTAACTCATTTCAACGTCCCTCGAGGGAAGCATTATGGCAAGAATTTACGTTCAACAGTGGAACCATGTTGAATCATGAGGATGAACCCAATTTTTTTATCACAATCATCGAGTCTTTATTGGGAATGTAATTCGTACAGGTAACCTAGTGTCAAGTGTGCAATAAAAGAAACATATGTTCTATAATAGGTCAGTGCAGTAAAAATATACCTCAGTGTTGTTGGATATCATAAATTGCTAGTCATGTAACGTTCACAAACTGAACCATCTAATTAGGTGGCTTTTAAATATGAAATATGAATGAGTTTAGCACATTTACAGGAAGTCACGGCGAGAAGAACGTTTTGCAATGATTCTCCCTACTGTCATGATTTTGACATTATGCCTGTAGACTAACCCGAGCACTACGTGGTATGTGTCTTCTATCACACTTTTGACATGACAATTATGGCAGTCACTTGAGTGTCTATTATCAGTTTTAGGCTTCAAGTAATATGCACAGACATAAATGTAAAGTCATACTTGAATATCACTTACTGCTTAAACCATATATGGTCGTTCGCGACAGTAATCTTCCCGGAAGTGTCTGGACTAACAACGATTCACCGTATTAAGAGTTGGGCTTTATGTCAATATCTATGCTTCAGGTATAAAGGCTTCTCCAGTCACAGGCATCATCCAGTGCCACTACATCGTCATGTCATGATAGCCTTGTCCTGGGGATGACAGACCAGGCCAGGCCAGGCTACTGATCGGGGTCATTGATCACAACAACAGGTGAGGTATCAGTGTCGATGATACGGTGTGATATACACAGAAACAATCTGCAAGATACATATATTAATATATACGAGTTTGTGTCAAATCATAATTTTAAAGGATGAGTAAAAGAACCATATTTAAATTGTAAAAGGTCAACCCTACATATGATGTGATATCGTACTTATTAGTCAGTGAAGTGTAAAAATAATACTGAAACTAAATAGAACAGAGAACAGATATGGACACTGGAAACACTAGATGTCCTCTATGTATAATGTCAACACTATGTAATATGTGTACTGGCATTGAGAGACGAAAGTGCTTTCATCAAGAACAGTTAAATAGAGAATACTAAACGAGCTCCCGTGTAATACCAATTTTATGAAACGAGGGAATAGTTCTTGTATTTGACGAGCGAAAGCGTGCCAGATACCAGAGTTTCATAAAATTGGTATCACACGTGAGCGAGTTTAGTATTTTATTTATTACTTGCCAATTATAGCTATTCTTTTTCAGAATTTCACTGTAAGAATAGGCAGACACCTACACGATCCACAACGTAATCCACTTGAGTTTAACAGAATGATACCTGCAAAACGTCAAACGTTGACACATATTAATTTACCATATAACGGCCAACCGTTAGAATTCAGGCATCCGTTCTATAAAGTTATCGTAGCGCTAAGGTTATCGTATCTCACATTACACCTGTCGTTGCGCCACAATATGATCGCCTTATGGAACGGGATCTGCACCACAAAGTTTACAATCACGTCACAATACTCTATGACGCGATTTGTGGAATTTTGTTGGCAGATCCACCGGCGAAACAATACCATGTGACGTCAGTCTAGCAACGGTGTAGCTGGGATCATTGAGTGTGCATAAACTCCTCTCAATGATCAATCATCTCCTCCCGCAATGTCGTTGAATAATCCAAGGGATGCTGAGAGCTTTCAACGTTTGTTAGTGTAACTTTTTCCCGCCGTACATAAGCACGCGCTTAGATATTACACAATGTGTAATACAGCTGTATGTTTATTTAACAGGTGATAATGAAAACTCGTGTACATTTTCCCTGAAAGGTAAAGTACCCAAACCAATGCATGTACTCACACTATAATGACCACAGCCAACACGTGACAAGCTGCACAGACGAAGAAGGCAAATCCACGGAATATCTTCACAGTGGCATCATATATCTCGTTGTACACTGTTACCCCCATTCCTGCTGAGATGATGTTAATTAGCCCAACCCCGGCAAACAGTGATCCTGCAAGAAATAGGTGTCCGTATGCATACGAATCGGAATCAGAATCGTAAACTGTTCTGATTGGAAAACTCAAAACAAGGGCATTAGGCCAAGAAGTTTAAATTAAGATTCGTGTATACCAAGGACTTTAAATCGCTCAGTAATGATCAAATAGCCAATTCATCCAGTAAAACAGCCTCATCTGGTTCATATTTAGATCCATGCATACATATTCAATGATTTGGTCCGGATGACAACTTTCCAATTGTTAACTATCACTCTATGTTGAGCCATATTCCAGCAGCTCTAGCCTTTGGTGTCTACATTTCAGAACGTTTGAGGTTTTATGTTAGACGTGTGGAGGTCATTTCTATATTTGACGCATCAGTGACCAAAGTGATGTCCGATGCAATTCCCCTTTTTTTACCTGTACCATTTATTCACCTGGTATCATCAATATTTGATATACTATTAATATATATTTGATTCATTTACATATCAGCTTATGGTGTTGTTGGAATCGTAGATTGGCGTAAAGTGTATATTATAAATGATGCATTACATAACTGAGGTTTATCTTTCCCTAGCACATATGCACTTCATCTATCTGAGACTCACCCTGCATTTCCGCAGGCGCCATCCTTGACATGATAGCTCGCACTGCCGGGAGGAGAGGGGAAGCAATGCCACATGGCAAAATAACTGCAATGAAAACAAAATAAATTTATATGTACATGCCTTTATTTCCCATTTTATGGAAATCCTACAAACAGTATTTGTCAAGACCTTATGGTATGGATACTTAGTCAGTGTTACAACTAGGAGGGAAACGTGGCAATTCACATCAATGAACATTGTTATCAGAGCATCTTGCATTTTCTAAATGCAGCTTACGCTTCAATGACATCATGCTTTTCTTTATTCTTTAGATAATTGTCAATATGACGTACCTGCGAAAAGCATGACGTTGGTATCAGCCAGGCCCTCTAGGACATAGGCTCCAGCCTGCATAACAGATGTTATGATACATATTCCTGGGTCTGAGGTGCACAGGTGGAGGAGTTTGATGACTGGAATCCCCAGTAGTTGTCTGGAAAGGGACACCGCCATATTGTAGTAGCCGATGAGCTCTGGTCCCCAACAGAATGGCTGGTTCAGTTGGTAAAGATATTCTACAATGTACACACCACCGGTGTTAAAGTATATCAGAAAATATGCTGCAATTGAGAGCCAGAATAGACTTCTCTTTGGGCCAAAATCTTTCGAAAAGTAGAATCCAAAGACATTTTTCACCGCTTTTACCGGCGTTGGGTACTGAGATCTTCTATCTGTGTTGATCGTTTCTGGGAGCAGAATAACGACAACGAGTAGAGGGAGAAGCATAAGTGATGAAGTAGTCACAGAGGGGTAGAAATACCCAAGGTCTTTGATGAAGTATCCAGTCATGATCTGGGAAACTGCAGAAGATAAGGAGGTGGTGAAATCTATCACAGCGATACCTACTGTTCGGGAGTTCATAGGTGGCGTGTTGTCAGCCGTGTAGGCATAACTAGCTAGAATGACACCATTGTATCCCCCTGAAATCCCATCTAAGACCTCGCCAATGTACAGGTATCTAAGATCTAGATTCCAGTAAATAACAATGGTCAACGTCATATACCTCACAAGCTCTCCAATTAAAGGCACAATGAAAAGAAATCTTCGACCAAGAAAATCAGAATATGCCCCAAGGAACATACAACTTATGAGTTGAATCGGGCTTGATATAGCTGTTAGTACAATCTGAATGTTTGATGTCCTGTCTTGAACCTTTTCCCGTAATATATACCCTGGATCCGACTCATTGAGGTAACACGTGGATGTTTGGTTTGAAGTGTGTGCAGTGCTGTTATGGAACAACTCATCGGAGTACCTCTTGTAAAGATATTGCGTTAACAATGGCTCGTGGATATTGACAGCTAAATGGTAAACCAGAAACACAACGTTAGCTTTGAGGAGGTTTCCGAGTTTAGACTTGCCTTCTTGATTGTTGTCTGCTACTAGTGGTGTAGACTCCATGCTCGTTGAGTAAAATGTGACCAGTATTTAGAGCTTGCTCCAAGATAGTATATCTTTGAAGCCTTGAATTTCAAACCTGTTGACATGTGGCATAATGACCTTGTTTGCTGGTGATATACACGATGGTTGTTTGTTGATAACACATTGAAGCTGTTTGGATGCAGAAAGTGAGCGAGACAAGATAACACCACTATTCTTGGTATATATAACATATATCAGACATACATTATAGAGTTTAGTCAACCTCTTTAATACTATTTACAAAATATGTTCTATCCTGTCAGCAACCACAGCCAGACCAGCCAACTGTTGATCATTGGGACTGACAGAACCGGTGATCTCGGCACGATGCCATGGGATTGTGTGTAGACAACTTTAGCAACATCTTTGGATTTTAGTCAATGGACTTCAGAAAGATAGTATAGTCTTCTATATTACTGTTTATTTTGTTTGTTTGTTTTTTAATGCCGTACTATTCAAGCTGCATGGTTGTTTGGTCCTCAGCAATATTCGCTTGCCGTAAGAGGAGACTAACGGGTTCGTGTGGTCAAGCTAACTGACTTTGTTGATGCATGTCATCGTATCCCAATTGTGTAGATCGATGCTTATGATGTCAATCACAAGATTGTCTCGTCCAGACTCGATTATTTACAGACCGCTGTCATATACTGGAATATTGCTGAGTGCAGTGTTAAACAACAAACAAAGAACAACAAAAATATGTCTGCGATTTGTAAATAATCAATTCTGGACCAGAAAATCCAGTGATTGACAGGCAACTCTAGGGACGGGCTGTGCGTCAATGGCGTTACACCATGTGTACAGACGAATCAAGGTGTCTCCTCCGATTCACAGATAGCAGAACACGTTTTTGGCAATCTCATTAAAATCAGAGCTTCGTTCTCGCTTATCGCTAAACAAAGACTAAATTGGGTTGTTGGCGACGTTGCGGCGAGCGGTTTGCCAGGTCCTGTCGTTGTCCATTCGCTAAAATTATCCGCAGAAATTTCGAACTGCAAGTGGACAATGCCAGACCTCAGGTCGTCACCGATTACCTCCCTCGAGAAGCGAACGGAAGTCCCTGACATTTCCAAAAATAGAGCATCTGTGGTACTTTACACCGTCTTGTGGCCCGGTATCATCAGATATATTAAGAACGTTAACACTGCAGGATCCACAAACTAATGCTAGGTTAAAAAAACAGATTGAGTAATTTCTGTGAAACCTGTTGTTGCGATGTTTACCTTCTTATTAATAAGTCCTTTGAACATGAGTGAGTGAGTGAGTGAATATGGTTTTACGCCGCTTTTAGCAATATTCCAGCAATATCACGGCGGGGGACACCAGAAATGGACTTCACACATTGTACCCATGTCGGGAATCGAACCCGGGTCTTTGGCGTGACGAGCGAACGCTTTAACCACTAGGCTACCCGACCGCCCCTTTGAACATGAAATGATTCGATGAAACATTATGTCATATGCATGAAATATAATCTGTCTCAGATGTTTAGTGTATCTTCAGATATATATGTAGACTTAGTGGTGTTGGTGGTGGTGTGTTAACACCCTGTTCAGTGTCATACTGACCTATTGTACATGTGTGATTAATAACTCGACCAACCTGTGTATGCCTGAGGGCATGTTATTTATATTTCCCTTAATGTTTTAATTATTCTGGCGCATTTTATTGATTATACTAATTGCTACACATATGCCTATGTTTTTCAAAAACTGACCAACATGTATGTAAGGAATAACAATACATAAATTATGTATATAAGTGAAGGTTTATTTCGCCATAGTCAAGGTCTAAAATGAAAATAGTGTGACAAGTTAATGCGTTAATATCAAAGATAGTTTATTACATGTATTATTTATGACAGTGATTGGGATTCAACAATAAGTTGACACACGTCTTCAACAGTCATAAGCATTGCCCATGGAGACTACGTCATCGTTTCGGTGATAGCCTTATCCTTGGAGATGATGGGACTAGGTTTCCAATCTGTGTCGTTGATACTAACAGCAGTGGAGGTATCAGTGTCGACGATGCGGCGAGAAGCAAGCAGGAATATTCTGCAATACATGAATATCTATTTGTTTAGTATTTCAGCTGGCTTCCCTTACAGGAGTAGTAAAATGTGATTGCTTACGTCTTGCATGCATCTCAATGGCTCAAAGGTGTTGGTCAGTGATGAGTAAAAAAGGAAATACAGAAATCAATGTATAAAAAGAACACATGTTATGTCAGATGTTTAGGTTGGCTATGGGCGTCCTTTATGTTGAATACCCCCACCGCGACATGTACTTACACTATGATAACCGCAGACAACAGTTGGAATCCCGCACAGGCGAAAAAGGCAAAACCACGGTGTACTTTCACAGTGGCATCATATATCTCGTTGAAAACTGTTATCCCTATAGTCCCTGAGATGATGTTCACAAGTCCAATGCCGGCAAACAGAGATCCTGGCAAAGACAAGTACATGTAAATACGATATTTGGGAACAGTACTCAACTGCTCGTTGAAAATGTTCCAAAATATTTCACAGTGTCAATAAGCTTCTCAAATCCTCAAGAATAAGATGGACCAAATAAATAAAAGCATCTTGAGTATTGCTTTGGAAAGTTTCCTTTTTAAGAGATTCTACATGAATATAGAGAATATTCAACACTCGTTCAGTGAAGAATAGTTGTTTGTTATCAACATTGCAATTATATGACAGCAACTTGTAAATAATCAAGCCAGTGATTGAAGTAATGTACATTGCTCAAAGCCATCAAGGTATGAGGTCACGCATTCAATCAACTGACCGAGCATGAACATCATTTTCATCATGTCGCCTCGCACAGGCCATGGTTCGTGGGGACCTATTCTAACGGGGAATCCCTACGATTCGTTTGTTTTAACGCCGAAATCAACAATATTCCATTTATATGATGGCAATATGTAAGTAATCAAGCCTGGACCAGACATTCAAGTTGTTGACATCAAGACATCGATCCACACAATTGGGATACGTTGACATGCAATCAACCAGTACACCGAGTATGACCATCCGATCAATCTGGTCGACTTGCACGACATGCATAGATGGCAGGGACCTATGTTCTTCCCCAGAATCCCCACAGGTCATTATCAAACGTATGTTAACATTAAGGAGGTATCCTTTATGACTGTTTTACTGTTTAAAGAAACAGTTCTTTCCAGGCTGTATGTTACATTGTACATATATAATGTTTCATTATATCAGATCACTGATCAGATACTATGCAATATGTTATGGAAATTATTTCTCAATAAATTTATATAATGTCATTGTTAGATCAGTAAAAGATGATTCCTAATTTCATGCTGGGACAGTTAAATCAAGTAATAAAGATATATCTACAATCTTGCTTCTGAAGCTAATTTTCGGAAACGTTAGACCCGTTTGAATTAAGTACACTGCTACCAATTCATGTTTTAAATAAATCTTGCTAGAACTAGGTTTAAACGAATGACTCCATTGTACTCTCTACTGTACATAAAATACAAGTCAAAACTGCTTCACTCTTTACCGTTGCTACCGTAAGGCAAATGCAACGGTAAAAACATTGCAACGATTTACTGTTCACACAAGCGAATATGACTGACACAAGAGCGTTTTCTGTGAAGGACATGCATGACCTCCTCCTTTGACATTTCTCCGTGTACTCACCCTGCATTTCAGCAGGCGCCATTTTCGACATGATAGCATTTACTGTCGGCAACAAAGGGCCTGCAAGACCATTGGGCAAAACAACTGCAAAAGAAAGACTTCAAACAACAAGCATGAAAAACTCATATCCACAGCCAAAATGACATGTCTGGTTGTGTGCAAGGCAAGAAATATACGGTTTTCAAGATCTGCTCCGGAAAAAAGCACTATCGCAATTTTCAGTCTAAGTCAAACTCGAAAAATAAAATTACCAAAATCCAAAACTATCAAAAGGCACCAGTGTACAACTAGATCTTTCTATGTGCCAAGTTTGGTTAAGATTTCTCTCATGGTTTTTTAGTAATGATTCTGGAAACGAATCATGACGGAAAGACGTACGGACAGCACCCATTCCTATATCCCTCTTCTACTTCGGGCGGGGGATAATAAACAGGTTAATATTTAGTTCTCATTTATAGTTTTACGAAGGGCTCTCCAAATTGAAACGCAAAACTTAACCCAGACATCAGTACTGTGCAATCAGTAAAGGACCACATCTGATCAATGAATAATATATAAGTTATATTATAACACACATATTTAGGTCCACAAAAAAGCAATAATCAATGGCAGGAGCAATAAGTAATAGGGCCCGTTATTAATATTCGTGCACTCGCACATATCAGAAATTAGCTCACCATCTTAGGTCGTGAAACAGGCCAGTCTCCGTTTTCAAATACAGAGTAGTATGAAAGCTAGCAGGAATTTGATGTTTTCAAATGTTTTCGATTTTCGGAAAGTAGACACAAAGACAACTAATTTCTGATGGTCTTTAAGCCTTTGTTCTTTGAAATGATCAAGTGGTTCCAGACCAAAGACTAACTACCTAGACTAACAAACGATTCTTGAACTGACTGTCTAGGTGCAAATAATAACCGAAGCTAAAACCTTTTCACATGTTTTGTTAAAACTCAAAAGACCAGTTATATGAGAATATGTTCATGAAATCTCAGAAAAACAACAGTGGGGTGAAAATCTTTCCACTCATCTTCAGCAGAATCTTCTAGAGGTCTCTATGTCTCATCATAACACTATCTTGGTAGTAGATACAAACATGAACTCTGGCAACCTCACTGGAAGAAAGTGCTAGCCTGGCGAGTGTGTGAATTTCTATATCGTCACCCTGAGAAGAAATGCGTTGAGTTTGAGAGAGTACAGGGAAATAAGCATTACTGCTTGACAAGGTACTGAAGAAAATGATCCATAAAAGTACCAACAAGATCAGAAGTGGCCTCATTTTTATTTACAAAAACCTGGGAGATCTGGGTAGCCAAAGAACAGATCACAGCACATGAAAGAATTATACCTGGAAGTCTTCCTGAAGTCATTCAATGCTCTCTGAAGTTCTTGGATAAATGCTCTTATACAACGTTTGAAATTATTACCAATCAGCGAGTTAACGTCTGGAGTGAGTGAGTGAGTGAGTTGGGTTTAACGCCGCTTTTAACAGTATTACAGTAACATCGCGGCGTGTCAGCTATTATGTGGGAGGAAAGCCCGAAGTGATGCAGGGGTATGGTGCTGACAAACCTAGGGATTCGAACCCACAATCATAGGTTTCTGGCGTGCCAAAGGGACGCAACTCTGCACAGCGAATCGCGGCGCCTTAGACGACTGGGCTACCCGTGCCCCCTGTTAACGTCTGGAACTGGGAGAATTGTCCTGACGCCTTTTTCTTTAAACCTGACCTTTAATATGACTGCAAATCAACAAAATGGAGAAACCAAAAACCTCAAACATTTCAAAACAAAGGTAAACTACTCCTCCCTACCGGCAGCAGACTTTGGTAGATGGATACCATAAACATACTCCTCCTCAGTGTTTAATGGCATAGGATTTGACGTTCACAAAATCATTGTGTGTTCTTTGTGATTGATATTTGGCTTTAAACACAATCGGAATTCAAATAACCTGGCATGTAACAATGTCTAATACCAGACGACACACATGAGTCGTTTTTCAAACCAGCACACAAAGTCAGCGATCTCACCCACGCAGCCACTGAGGGAAATCCGACAAAAGTAAGTGTTATCCCAGTTATAACATTTGTCACATTTGACCACTCGCCAAAAAAGACATTTTGTATCGATAGCTTTTGGCCATAGGAGCCGTGCCAATTTAGACTTATCAGAGGGTACACAAAGTATGTCATCTAGACTACCAACTGTCGGACTTGTGGAAGAATCGGTGGTGTTCATGTTGAAATAAGCGTGGATAACTCAAATTATTGACAACTCTCAATTATTTGATGCTTCTAACAAAGTCTATTTACAACAGCCTAATGACATATGCCAAAATTGTTATGTGGCAGTAGATATATTGTAACTGCCCATAGTTGTTCACTGTCGATGCTCCACTCCAGCGCATGGATACTTGCTACAATGCCCTTTGGGGAGTGACGATCTCATTCGAGTTGCCTCGCAAGGCAACAGTTTCTATAGGTCTGGCTGTACCTATATGAGAATCAAATGAGGTGATTCGAGCCCTTTTTATTATTGTAGACCTAATAAAGTCATGGGTCATGTGTTCATTGATCTCATGTGGTTACTTACGGATTTCACTATTTAGTTCTGTACTTACCGATTTCTGGGTTAACCTTCACGTTTCAATTTGAGAAAAAAACACGTGACAAAAGAATTAATTATTTTTCATTGAAAACTTACAGAACAGCTTATAAAGGACAATCTACTTCTCTACTAATTCTCACACTTTTGCCAGAAATCATGCTACTGCGAGAAAATAATTTATAAATCTAAAAGCAATTGTTATAAATACTCACATGAGAAAAGCATGACGTCAGTGTTGGCCAGGCCGTCAAGGGCAAAGGCTGCTGCCTGTATGACAGATGTTATGATACATATTCCTGGGTCTGAGGTGCACAGATGGAGGAGTTTGATGACTGGAATCCCCAGTAATTGCCGAGAAAGCGACAACGCCATATAAAAGTAGCCAATGAGTTCTGGTCCCCAACAGAAAGGCAGGTTTAGTTGGAAAAGATATTGGACAAAGTACACACCAGTCTGACTGAAAAAGGATATAAGATATGCTGCAAGTATAAGCCAGAAAAGGCTTCGCTTTGGTCCAAAATCTTTCGAAAAGTAGAATCCAAAGACATTTTTTACTGCTTTCACAGGACTTGGATATTGAAGTCTGCGATCAGTGTTGATAGTTTCAGCGAGCAAAACAACAACAAGGAGTAGAGAGAGAAGTATGAGTGAAGTGGTGGTCACGGCAGGGTAGAGATAACCTAGGTCTTTCATAAAGTATCCAGTACTGGCTGAGGAAGCTGCAGCAGCAAGGTAGCTGGTGAAATCTATTAGCGCAATGCCTATTGTCCGGGAGTTCTTAGGTGGTGTGTTGTCAGCCGTGTAGGCATAACTAGCTAGAGCCACACCATTGAACCCCCCTGAAATACCCTCTAAGGCCTCACCTATATACAGGTATTTCAGATCTAGACTCCAGTAAATAACTGCTGTTAGAAATAACTGCCTTAGAAACTCTCCAATTAATGGTACTATAAAGAGGAATCGTCGACCAAGGAAATCAGAATATGCCCCTAGGAACATACAGCTGATTACTGCCAAGGAGCTTCTAATGGCTGTGAGTATAGTTTGACAGTTTGCTGTCCTTTCTTGAACCATTTCCTGTAACATATATCCTGGATCCGACTTATTGACGTAACACTTGGAGGTTTGATTTGGAGTGCTGGCAGACCCTTTGTTATCGAACACCTCATCGGAGTACCTCTTGTAAAGATATTGTGTCACCAGTAGATCATGGATATTGATTGCCAAATGGAAAACAAGAAACACAACGTTAGCCTTGAGTAGATTTCCCAGTTTAGACTTGCCTTCTTGGTCGTTTGTTTCTGGTAGCAGTGAAGACTCCATGTTTGTTCAGTAATATTTGAACACCGTTCAAGAATTGCTTCTAGTTATACATATATACTTGAGGCCGTGATTTTCGAACCATGTAGACGTGTGACAGCGACCTTGTTTACTGGTGGTGCTTACTAGATAACACTATCAACCATCGTTGAATCAGATCGCTTTGTCTCTGTCTTGTCTAATGACCTTTATTAACATGGTATTTGTGACACTGACTCTATGTCCGGAGATAAACACAGACTTGACTCGGGTATTACAACAACGAAGTGTTAATAAATATGGATCAAGTATCCTTCTGCATTATTAATTACATTTTAACAACATTGCAATATAATGTGTTTATTGCATTGTGGACAATCTCTGTCTAAAGCCCCACCCTGACTATAAATAGCCCGCAAGGTGGCGGTGTTTCAGTTTCGAACAAGGACTGACAATTTAAACACAGCCGAGTGCCGGGAGAAGCTTTTTGAAAACCGTACGCAAACAAGATAACCATTGACCATCAAACTTCGCATCAACTTGAATGACAAACTCTGGATACCACAAATGGCTCCATATCTAGATACAAGTCAATAACTTTTCAGTAGTTTTATCATAAAAAATCGAATCGATCGTGTTTGGCGTCTGATCAATCACAGTGGGCGGAGCTTATTTACGGTTGCGCTATAAAAAGTTAAGCACATAGTCATATGTGCATGTGACACATTCAATGCATTTGTGGTCAAAGTGTATTGTTTTGTATATTTTTACGGCAGAACAGCAGCAGAACAACAGTTTCGGTTAATGTAACAGTAACGATACATAAATGCGAAATTGACGACAAGATTCATTCAGTTCAATCCGAAAATTACAGATATTTGTTTAGTTTTGGTCATTTGGATTCAACAGTTAGATCTATACCACACAATAATCAGATAATATTTATAAACTTCAATTATTACACAGATTTTTCAACTGGTGTTTAGGAAGGGGTCTAATTTGAAGCACCAGTAGTTGCGCCAATAATTAATATGTCTTAGCTTGACTACAATATATGAATATGTCACGTGTATAAACATAACAATGCACATAAGCAACTAATAAATAAGTAACGAAATATACTTGATGTTTTGACCTACATTAGGCGTTAGGCGTATCAAGATGATATTATACTTTCGATAAACGAAAACTCAAACTCAACTTGAATTATGGATTTCCTTTCCTTTCTCAGAATTTTCACACACAAAACTGAGTTTGATCATTAGATCCACGTTGGCCCATGAATTTTTTGTTCGGGGAATTTGAATACACTTCGCGCACAAATTTTAAAATACAATCTGGGATCCCTTTGCTGTTTTGTTCACACAAATCCTTCATCTGCTGCAACGTTTGATATCCGTTTCTTGAAGTCCGACTATCTACGATCTCTCCCAAAACATCGTCTATATAACTCAGTCCAGAAGAATTTGAAGCACTGTTTTCGAGTTAATGAATAAGTTCTGTAACAGTAAATTAGTAAAGGTTAATAAGGGATGCCAAACACGTTAATTAATGAAAGAAGAGAAGTCAAAACACTGTCATTTCCTGTTCAGGACATCACACCCCTAAACGCTAAGGTCGGTGAGGAACCTTCTCATCAAAGAAAAGACACAGTCAAGATACTGACTTTTCGGTACGGACTCTCGGTATGTAGCTATAATTATCAGTTTATTACATTACTGAAGATGTATTTTGATTCAAACTCAATTAAATGAGCAAAACAATTGAGATCTGCCTAGATATGCACGTTTCGTTTTATTATTCTGCAATCCATTTTTAGTATTACCCGCTGGCCCGGCCCGGCCCGACTTTTCTTGGCCCGACTTTTAGGCAATCCCCTCGTTTAGCATGGTGTATTGCGCAACAGAACTGGAATCGGAGAACTTGGCGATGGACCCATTGGTCAAAATTGGTCACTGATGGAAGAACGAGAGTTTGGAGGCACTGGAAAACGGCCTACACCCCAAGGAACATTTAACCGACTGTTGCATACGGCGGGGGCTCGGTAATGGTTTCGGGGTGTATCTCTCATAATTGCAGGTTGGATTTGGTCACCATAAGGGGCAACTTATCAGGGGCTCGGTACATCCGGGACGTTTTGAGGCCAGTCGTCGTTCCTCATGTTGACAACCACCCTCTTGCTACTCGACCTCAGTACATGGATGACAATGCCAGGCCTCATCGTTCGCATGCAGTCGTGGATTACATGAGGGTCAATGCAATTACGACTCTACCCTGGCCAGCAATGAGCCCAGATTTGAACCCCCTTGAACATGTTTGGGATATTCTGGGGCGGCGCATACAGGCACGAGATCCTCCTGTACAAGATTTACGCAAATTGGAAGCAGCATTGCACCTGGAGTGGTTGTTGTTGACCCATCAACAGATCCAACGTCTGACTGTAGGCATGACGTAGGGTGGAATGCGTCATCCGGGCACGTGGCGGTTTTATCCGCTACTGATCTGTTTCACGTGTCATGTCAAGTAGAGACTTTAAGGAACATTTTCACATGAAACATCAAACGTAACTCGTTTACTTAATCCTGCAGCTCCATACTTTTTTGAGGTACTGTCTCAGGTCAAAAACAGTACCTGTGTTACCATGATGTTTATGTCACTAAATTTCAATCACAACTCACCTGCAATATCTTCTTTATTTGTTGTCAAATGTATGTTATATCCGTTGATATTGGTATTGCCCAGCTCCTGTGGTCAGTCATCCCATGCCATGAATTTTGTCATTTGTCATGGTTCTGAAATGGGGTGTGCTTAACGTTTTTCTTTGTGTATATTATAATAACAAATACATGTTCATTGCGATTTGTCAGTTGCAACGTGATCAAAATCATCAAATGCATGTATAAGCACAATGTGTAATCGTTACTGGCTACTAGGTTGAAATAAACTGCTGGCCAAAATCTTTGAAATAACATACCTAGAAACCTGTGTTAATTTACAACCTTCTAACACTTCTTCTAACACAATGAGAATACAATTACTCTCATATACATAATCATATATCCCAGAGTAAATGTAGTGTCTTAAAAAATGTAACTGTGCTTCATATGAAGTTAGAAAATGCATGTATTCTTAAAGTAAATAATGCATCTTTCAGTACCTGTTCATGAAGACATCTCCTCGTGATTCACAATTTGCACGTGCAAAAACTTTTTTTACAAAGTATCCAGTACAAGCTTGGTGGGTGGTGAAATCTATCATAGCGATCCCTAATGTGTGTGAGATCTGGATGTGGATGGATGGATATTGACAGCAAAATGGAAAACCAAAAGCACTTCATTAGCCTTGAGCTTACCCATTCTTTTTTACAAAGTATCCAGTACTGGTCTGGGAAATTTGCACAACCTTGGTGGGTGGTGAAATCTATCAAAGCGATCCCTAATGTGTGTGAGTTCAGACTTCTGGATGTGGATGGATAGATATTGACAGCAAAAGGGAAAACCAAAAGCACTACATTAGCCTTGAGGTTTCCCTATATTAGCAAACTTTCTTGAACGTTAATTTCGGGAACACCTGGTGTCGTTGTTTTTAATTTTCATTGATCCATTGCGAACACCTGGTGTCGTTTATATATTTTCAGTGATCCATTCTTAAAATTTGCATCGCTATTTTGCCTTTGACAGCCAATGGAATCTGTTTCGTCGGATAATTGAGACGAATTATTCCCTGGCGTTGACGTTTTATATTTCTGGTAGCATTGTAGGCTCCATGCTTGTACAATATAATTTGACCACCCTTCAAAGGTTATATAAACCAAAACATTTTAATCGTTATTAAAGTTTACTATGCTGAAAACAGTCGCTGAAAGTCACGAAACTTGAAGTCCAAACACAGTCATGATACCCTCTGTTATCCGTCACGATCGAATAACCTTTTCTTTTGGTTTCATTTTAGCTACCATTAAACATCAGTGTATACCGACAACGGAGATTATGCCAAACAATATCGGATGTTTTCTAGATGTTGGCATGGGGAGATCTAAAAGACATTAGAGAAATGTGGGTAACAGATCATAAGTGTCCAGACACATCACAAACGTAAAATATATTTTCATTCCTTCAAAGTGCTCGGGATGAGGGGAAAATGTCCTATCTGCATGGAGATAAGCTTGTCATCGACAATGAAGTTTATTCATATAACAACGAGGATTCCAACATCATAGCTCTCGTGCCCAAGAACCGCTCGACATCAATGGGAACAGATTGGACATAGGACCGGACTTGATCATTTCGGACAATCAACATGAAGCAGGTACTCGTCATTCCTCTACACTGAGAGTTTTAGGATGGAATGTACACGGTTAAATACATAAGCTCAGTTTTACAGACTTCAAGCGACTTTTGGATCAATATGACATGTTTTGTCTCATCGAAACTTTGGCGAAGTCATTTGACAAGTTTTAGTAATGCATTTGCTGAATGTGACTGTTTTCAGATAATTTAAAAGAAGAAATGTAAATTTTGAAGATGCAGTAGTTGAACAGCAGTAAATGACAAAATGCATGTCTTAACAAGCCCCAACAAATCAAAGTGGATTGACCTTGTTGGTTTGACATCTTAAGGGAAAACCTTTCAGGAAAAATACCTAATATTTGCGTGTGTAGACATAATACCAGAGTTAATGTCAGGACTGGAAATAAATTTGACTTTATAGAATATGACAATATAGATAATTTACCTACCGATGAAAGCACATGCATTATGTCTAATGGTTGTCCACAAGTGAGATATAATAAAGATGCCGGTGTCACGAAATATATTCGCCCCCAGAATAAAATCTCCCCCCCCCCCCCCCGGCGAATTTATACCGGTACAGTTCCACCCCTCGAAATAAACTGTACTGAAATGGTTCTGTACATTCTACAGAATGGAGCTGTGCGTAAGCGTCGCTGATATAGGTAACATGTAAAAGATCAATCGTTAGACGAAATAAGATTTGAAACGTATCAAATACTTCAAGCTATCGTGATACAAATTTACATCTGTCGGCGTAGCGTTTATATTCATAGGAACGTACAAGGTACTCAAAGTGAAGCCCTTTTCCCTCTACATTCT